ACTTGCAAAGAAAGACTCCTTAGCTCCTAAAGGGACCAAACTAGTGCCACGAGGGCTTTATACAGTCACGGGCTACTCAGCTATTTACAGAACCTGTAGAGCCTTCTGTGTTCCAAAAGAAAGCCTGTTTCAAATTTCAAAAACTCTCTAAAACTGAGCGGTCAATTTCAGTGGCTAGCATTATTGGCGCCATGCAATGCATATTTAAACCCCATACCTTCCATGTAAAGACAGTTTTTATTTTCACTTTATAAAGAGGCTCAGCGGTTTAAGGAATTTGTCCTAAATCATAGCAATAAATAAGGAATTAGAGCAGAAATCAAACCCAAATGTGTCTGATCTGAAATATCATGCTTTTTAAACTCCTATTTTCTCTTACCTCTGTAACACTATTTTTTTCTTATGAAAACACAAGAGGACTTATTTAATGTATTCTTATAAGGTTTAGTCATTCGGTGATGTGCACAGTATTCTTAGGAAGACATTTTTATATTAAATTTTTGATTTCCATATTCCCACATGTACTGCGTCTTTCCAATCTTTGGGTCCTACAGTGGGACACAGCAGGTATCAAATGAAAGAACTGGAGTTAAGAATTTAATGCCAAAGCACTGGGATAATTTATGGACAGCCCAATGTCAGCGATCTTGAGAAATCACAAAGAATGAGAAGAAAGTAGAAGAAGGCAGATTCTTCAAAGCACAGAGCCATGAGCTTATGCAGGATGCAGAGCAGGACCCAGCCCTACTGTTACAGAAGTCAGGGTCGGGGGCTTTGGACAAGGGCAGCCTGATCACTGAGGCCCAGCACTCGCCCACTAGGCACAGTCATTTCACACCAAGTCTGCTGCCTTCTTTGAATGGCTCCCAGAACAACTGACCCGATGGGGGCAGCAAGCAGCTGGAGCTGGGTGGTGACCAGCCCCTTTAGAAGAAGCCATAGGCTCTCCCATTCGCCCATAAATTGGCCCCTGACTCCTGACAGAATCAGGACTCTATAGTTAATAGGGATTAAAATAAGATCTTGCATTTGGTTTCAAAAACCCAGTTGAGTAAATCCAAGCTAGGGGAGGGCCCAGTTAGGTGCAGCCAATATAAAAATGTCTTTAAGTAAGCTGATAACAAGCTCAATAAGGGAATGCATGCTGTAGCTGGCAGAATAAAGGTAAAGCATCCTTAGTTGCATTACAAAACAAAGTGTCCATGCTAGAATAAGGGAGGCGACAGTTTGGATCTGATCTGGCTTCAATGTATGCAGACTTCTGAGCAGCTCACTTTGACAGAGCCTGCTGGGTCCCTCCACTCCCTTCTCTGATCTAGTCTCGGATAGAACAGGTAGGAGCTGGTCCCTACATACTACCTCACCCAGATACCTGTTCCCTGGTGACTTCCCACTGTCCTCAGCCAATGGGAAGAGAAGTGAAGCAAAAAGAACAAGCCTTTCTTGTATGGTCTTCTCCATCTCCATCTGTACATTTCTGACAGTGTCTGTGTCCCTTTACAACTACGTTTCCTGTCTGACAGTCCCTGTTCCACAGCCCCAGCTTTCCAAGATTCCAGTTTGCTTCCCCTTTTCCTTCAGGTCCAGTGGTAAAACAGCTTTCCCCTGCTGATGGCCGCTAGGTAGTACCTCACCACCCCTTCTTGGTTCCCTTAAGGCTGCCCACAGTCCTATAAATAATCCCTTCACTCATTCCTTTTAAAATCCCAATGAACTTGGCCTTCTGTTTCCTGCAAGGGCCTTGGCTGAAACTGGACACAGAATGCCAGACAGCCTTAAAGTCATGTCTGTGAGGACCGGCTCTAGGAGCAGAGGGTGTTTAGCCTGGTCAAAGGAAGACTCTGGGCAGCAGTACTGTCTACTTGAAAAGGGCAAATAGCCACCGTCAGATTCACTCTTGGCTCCACAGATAGTACTGGGTATAGAGATAGCACCTTTTGGTTAAATGTAAATTTTTCCCAGAGTTGGCAAAGGTGGGGTGGGTATTCCTGGCTGGGTATTCCTGGCTGGTCACAAGCTCCAAAGATTCTGAGTTGCCTGATCTTAAGCTAGATGAGCCCAAGTCAAGAACAGTGCAGAAAAAAGTTAGAAGGATAGTCTAGAAAAGGCCTGTCCAAGCCAGTATTTCATGATTCATCACCAACTGTACACTAATCTATGATTTATCAAAATACAATAGTCCTCCCTTATCTGCAGCTTCACTCTCCATGGTTTTATTGTAGTTACCTAGCACAAACTGGAGTCATAAAACAATAAATGGAAAATCCGGAAATAAACAATTTGTAAGTTTTAAACAAATAGCATGATGAAATTTCATGTTATCCCACCTCCTCTGTCCTGGGATATCAATCATTCCTCTGGCCAGTGTATCCACACTGTATAAGCTACCCACCATTTGTCACTTACCAGCCATCTCAGTTATCTCAATTGTCAGATTGACTGTCACAGTGCCTGTCTTCAAGTGACCCCTGCTCAGTAGCCTAATGCTTCATCACAATTCCTACGGCTCTCACAGCACTTTGTCTCATCACCAGACAGTGTATCATCTCACAGCATCACAAGGAGAAGGGTAAGTACAATACGATCACAAGGGGTGAGGGTCACATATTGTTCTAACTGTTCTATTTTATTATTAGCTGCTATTGTCACCTCTTACTGCACCAAACTTATAAACTTTACCATAAAGTATATATTCTAGGAAAAAAACAGTATACAGTATAAAGAGTTTGGTACTATCTGATTTCAGGCATCCCTTGGGGGGGGGCGGTGGTCTTGGAATGCCTCTCCGACAACTATACTAATATTGAGGGGAAACTCTGGGATGTGTTTTTGCTGCTTTCCACTTAAATCTAGAGAACAGAAGCCGAGCTCTTAGATCAAGTTTGCCAATTCTCAACACTGAAGTTGTTCTTACATGTTAAGCTAACTTGATATAGTACATATGAAAAAATGTTCAGCATCTTTGACCATTAGAGAAATGCAAATCAAACAACACTGACATTCTATCTTATTCCAGAAAGAATGGCTATCATCAAGAATTCAAAACACAGTGCTGGGCATTATGGCACACTGTTGTAATCCTTGCACTCAGGAGGCAGAGGCAGGAGAGCCACAGAGGTACATAGTGAGCTCAAGGCCAGCCTGAACTACCCAATGAGATCCTGTCTCAAAGACATAAACAAACAAAAACTTAAAAAACAACAAATTCTGACAAGGTTGTAGCAGAAAAGGAACCCTTCTACACTGTTGGTGGGAATGTAAACTAGTCCAACCACCATGGAAATCAGCATGGAGACTAAAAAACGAAGTGTCAAAAAAACTAAAAGTAGGCCAGGGATTTAGCTCAGTGGTTTTGCTGCCTGCTGTACAAGCGCGAGAACCCGAGTTCGATCCCCAGTACCAAAAAAACAAACAAACAAAAACAAAACCAAACAAAAAAACTAAAAGTAGAAATTCCATTTGACCCAGGTATACCTCTTCTGAGTATCTTCCCAGGAGTTAAAGACATCATATGACACTGACACATATAAACCCATGTTTACAGCAGCTCTTCACAATAGCTAAACCTTGGAAATGGCCTATATGCCCACCAACAGATGAGTGGATAAAGAAAATATAGAATGTATTCACAAGGGAATACTACTCCACCATAAAGAAGGATAAATTTGATTTATGTGTAGGAAAATGGATGCACTTTGAGATCATAATGCTAGGTGAAATAAATCAGACACAGAAGTTAACTGTTACATGGTTTCTCTTACAGGAGAAACCCAAAGTATAAGCAATTTAAAGAGCAAAATAAGAGATTATAGGAAACAGGGAGACAGGCTTTGTGGAGATGGGAAGTTAATCCAGGATGGACAGAACAGGAGAGCGAGAAGGGAAAGGTGAAAAGGATTAGGATGTCATGTGTATATGTGTACCAATTCCTCATGCTGAATGTATTTAATATGTATCACACACATACACTAATAAAATTTTTTTTTAAATAACTTGGAAACAGGAAATTTTTACATCTCAGCATGAAGGCTTTCCAAAAGTTCACTTCTAATCCACTCACCCACCCCTCTACTGAAAACATTTTTTAACCCAGCAATTTCTACCCACACATCTGTCAGGCACTGAAGTTCTGGAGAACTGTCACCTCATTCAACTCCAAAACCAGGATACAAAATCTGCCCACAGGGGCCAGGGATTTAGCTCAGCAGTGCTGCGCCGGCCTGTCAAGTGCAAGGTCCTGAGTTCGATCCCAAGTACAGCAAAAAAAAAAAAAAAAAAAAAAATCTGCCCACAGGACAAAATATTTTAGACACAAACTATCCCAGAAAAAAACAAGATGGCCTCAATTCACCGTGGCAGGAAAAAGAAAATGATTTTTGAAAAAGTCCCGAGCGCCTGAGGTCACAACAGGGTCATGGCCCACGATACTAGGGGGTATCTTAGCCAAGGGTCCTCCTTGGGGGAGAGTTTTATCTTTTCCTGCACGGCGGCGGGATGGCTGAGACAGCCAGTTTCACTCATTCATTCAACAAACATCAGCGATCAACTTCCACAGCGGAGCCCTGGGGATGCAAGGAAGACCCCAGGAAGCTAGCCCAGCCACGCTGCTGCCAGACGACTTCGGCAAGTCGAGGAAACGACCTGATTTCTAAAGACCAATGAAGGCAAAGAGCGAGAGTGACGGCGGCCAGAAAACTTTCTGCAGAAACTTGGGAAATGCCAGCCCTCGGGCGCGGAGAGGGCGGAGACACGGGTCTGCCCAGGGACGCTGCCTGCGGGCTGGGCTCTGTCCCGCCGCTTTCCGGAGCCACGCGGCGCCCGCCCGCGGCCTGGTCCTGTCCGGGCCGGGAAGGCTGCGCGGAGGCGGGCGCAGAGGCCTCGCCGGTCGCAGCGGGGACGCAGCGGGGAGCGCCCGGCTCCGCCCCGCCCGCAGGAAGCGCGCGCCCCTGCCCGGCCCCCAGCTCCTCGGCCCGGCGCCCTCCAGGCCTCGCCCCACTCACCTTCCTTGGCTTTCTTCCTCCGGGCCAGGGTTCCCCCGAGTTTCCCCAAGAAAGAGTCATCTTTCTTGCGGGACGGGGGCGACTTGGGGGTGGGAGACTTGGGGACCGAAGGCGACTTCTGCGGGGAGGTGGCCATGGCGCCGGAGCCGGAGGCCGCGGGCCGAGCTGGACGCGGAGCTGGAGCTGGGGCTGGGGCTGGGCGGACGCGGCGGGACTGAGGCTGCGGCTTTCCAAACGGAAGCGGAATTATTCCAGGCATTTGAGGCAGCTCGCGCTCGCCTTTCCCTTCCCTCGCTCCCTCCCTCGCGCCGCCCTCCGCCCTGCTCGGAGCTGCGCGCTCGCCTGGCCGGCCCGGGCCCCGGACTGTCTGCCCCTACTCCGAGGCGGTGCGGCCTCGTTGGCTGAAGCGTGTGCCACCTTCCCGGCTGGGAGCGCTTGCAGCTGGGGAGCCTCATTCCCCAGACTCCGGCCCAGCACCGGTCCTGGCACAAATCAGGATCTGAACCGAACGAACCCCGTTACTCTACCTCCCAGGCCCGCGTAGGTGCGTCCGCTGCCCTCCATTGCCGCCTGTATTCTTAGGCCCGTGTCTTGTGCCTAAGACGTGGGCCCGCTGGTGGAAGATAAGAATTGGAGCGAATCAAACTGTGCTCTGGCCCCACCAAAGTGGACACCAACAACCTGTCCTGCACTTACAGCTCCCAACCTCCTCTTGGCCAACTGCTTCAAGACTGAGAACATGGAAGCCAGGGAGGGGAGAGCGCCCGCTCTTTCTTGAAAGACACCCACGTTGCTAGCAGGCCCGGGGTCCTACCGAGGATCTCAATACAGGTGGAAACATTTAGGGAAGGCGCAACCCCAGGCACCTGTGGAACAGGCCTCTCCCAACTCTTCCTGCCTAAGTAAAAGCCATAGAGCTGCTGCCGAATTTGTGGAACAAGAGGGTGTTTCAACTCATACTGATACATTGTATCATGCTTGCCCAGGGAAGTCGCCGTGAAATTATATTTTGATTACATCATTAACAGTTCCTGACCAAGATAGCACATACAAAAGGGCATCTTCAAAATCAGATCTGCCACACTTGTGGGGAATTGGAAGACTGAGCTGCCCAGTAGCTGGGTGATCTTGGGAAAGCTGACTGCTTTTTCTGAGTTTCTGTTTCTTCCTTTACTGAAGGAAGTGATTCGAACAGCGCAGGGGCCCTCAGACCCAGCTGGGGTTAATCAAAGTTAACAACCATCACCGAGCTCTGTCTCTACAAGTTCAGATTCAGCGAAATAGGTAGTTTTTAAACCAATTCTGTTAGGTGATTTTGACGGAGCTGATCCACACGGAGATGTTTGGGCATGTAGGGCTACTTCATGTTCTAGGGTTCTTTTACAAATTGCTTATGTATGTATCCAGGACTTAGGTCCTAAATGTGGCATGATCAAGATTACCCGGGAAGAGTCTAAATTGGTTGTACATGGTTTCATCCTCCCCAAGGGGAATTATAAAGACAGCTCAAAATTAAACGTGTGATGTGATAGGGCTCTTCTGAATCCTCAAGGCCAGCCTTTCCCTGAAAGCTGGGCCTACACAAATTGCACTGGGTCTGCTCTTAGTGAAGTAAGTAGGTGGTCTGGGACAAATCTCTTCCCTTTCTGGACTTCCCTTTCCATCACCTGTAAGATGAAGCCAAGGCAGTAGCTCCTGAAGCTGCACATCTCACAGTCCTTACAACCAGTGATTTCAAGTATAGGTAATTTTTATGGTTTTCTCTAAATTTTGAAAACCACTGAGCAAAACTAATAAGAACAAAAAAAATTTTTTTTGCTGTTTGCCTTGCTGAGAAATGAACGAAGGATCTCACTTATGTTAGGCAAATGCTCTACCACTCAGCTATATCCCCGGCCTTTTTAAATTTTGAGACAGTGTCTCATTAAGCTGTTCAGATAGGCCTCAAACTTGCTATCCTCCGGCCTCAGCTTCCAGAGTAACTGGGAATTCAGGCATGCCTCACTACATCTGGCAAGAACAAAGTTTAATTGTTGAATTCTGGCTTCCAAAAAATACCAGCAAAACAAGTCATGGAGAAGACAAAGCTGAGCTTATTATACACAGTCAGAAAGGAAGTCTTTATGGTGTCCTCCAGACAGAACAAAGTGGGGATATTTATAAGGCTTCAAGATCTGGACAGAGGCAGCCCTTTCAGTGCAGAGGTGCTTAAGTTTGGCTAAGGATCGTGATACAATAGTTTAGGATTGGTGACTACAAGGTGAATCTTTGGAAGAGACTTACAGTAAACACTCTTTTTCATGCTACTGAAACATTTACAGGTTTTATATTCACTTCAATGAGATTTTAAGGGAACTTCTTGAATAATAAAGCTATTTGCAACTTGCATCTTCCTGGGAAAGAGTTTTTTGGAATAGACAGTGGAATGGTCAAGTCTCATTAATGTAGGTAGTAAGTAACCTGGGTGAGTGTACATGCTTTCTAGGGTCTCAGATATCTTGCTCTTCAAAACTTCCTGCCCCTGAGATAATTATTAATCTCTTGAAAGGCTGATGGGGAATGAGTGATGAATTAATTGGGGCTACTCGAAATGTAGTCTATAAATCAGTGTTGATCTGAATCCTGTTATTAGCCTGCAAAGATAGAAACTGTTTTTAGAAACTTTGATAGTAACTAAGAATGCAATTTTATGTCCATTTAGTCTAAAAACTGTAAGCTTATATTTTGAATGCTTTTTTATCTTTCTAATAATTCTTTTTATTGTATTTTATAAAATATTAGTCTATGCTGGGTTGGTCCTTTGCTAGAGATGCTTACAGAAATATTGTTCCTGTTTGCATGGAGTTCATATGCTTTCTTCTAATGTAATGTGTTTAGAATCCTTATGGATATAAATGGATCTGGGTTTTGTTCAGAATATTAAGTGAGCTAATACGTGGAAAAGAACCTGGCAGTGAAGTAGATAGAACCTCAATCTTGCTTCATTACAGACACATGCCACACATGCAGAGACTAACCTACACTGCTCCCTCCCATCCGAACTGGTGTTTTCAATTATGGCCCAGCTGACAGCTTCCCCCTCCTTCTTGGTCACTGTTTTCATTATGAAGACAGCCTAAAATTAATGTGTGTGATCTTCTGGATCTCAAAGCCAGCCTTTCCCTGAAAGCTGGGCCTAGACAAATTGCACTGGGAAAGAATAATCCCAGATCTGTTCTTAGCTCAGTAACTAGGTGGTCTTGAACAAATCTCTTCCCTTCCTGGACTTCCTTTTTTAACACCTATGAAATCAAGTCAAGACTGCTAAAGCTGAACATCACAGGATCCTTATGACCAACAATTTTGAGTCTAGGTTATGAGTACATTGTGCACCCAGATACATATTGCAGGCAAGTCCATGTCAGCAGTACTCTATTTATTTATTTATGATGGGGGCGGGGGGTTGAGACAAGGTCTTGATATGTAGTTCAGGCTGGCTTCAAACTCACAGCAATCCTCCTGCCTCAGCCTCCCAAGTGCTGGGATTACAGGTGTGCTCCACCACCCCCGGCAGCACTACTGTATTTAAATGCATAACAGTTGAATTAGTAAACAAACTGTGACAGTGCAGCAATAAGAATGAACAATCTATAGCTATAAGCACTGTGAGACTGTATCTCACAACATGATGTCTAGCGAAAAAAATACAGTTACAAAAGAGCACAGATTATATCATTTTACTCCTGGAAGTTCAGAAGCAGACAAAGCAAACCGATGATGCTGCCAGTTGGGAGAGCAATCAGCTTTGAGCGGGGAGTGATGAAGTGGGGTGCATGAGGAAGGCTCCTGGAGCTAATGTTCTGCTTCTTGATCTGAGCTCTGGTCCCATGGATACATTCACTTTAAAAATTAATGGACTGGGGCTAGGGTTTTAGCTCAGTGGTTCTGACGCCTGCCTCGCAAGCACAAGGTCCCGAGTTCGATCCTCAGTACCAAAAAAAAATAGACCATACACTTGATAATTTGAGCAACTTTGTATAGATTGTAAGTCAATAAAAACAATAATTTATCACAGAAATGATTAATTTTAAAAACAAACCCTGGGACCATATACTCTGTAGGATCCTTCTTACTTCGATGGCCTCCTTCTCTAACTCCCTGGGTGGCCCATGTCAATTGAAAATTCACAGGTCTTAATTCAGGCCAGTGGTGTCTCGGCCCTTCCCTTAAGAGGTCTTATATCTAGTCAGTCTTCTGTTGCCCATGGCTACCCAGCAACACTCCTGTGCTAGTCCTGTTATGTTTTCCTTCCTCAAGGATTCCAACTGTTGGGCTTTGTGATGCACAAGGCAGGATCGCAGAGTGGTAAAGATATACACCACTCTGCAGGTGTATCTGTAAATATTTGTGCAAGTTGTTTCACTTCTCTGTGGCTTTGTTTTTCTCATATTAAGGTGGATGTTGTTATGGTTTATGTCTGGATGTCCCCCCAAAGTCTCATGGGCTCAAAGGCAGGGCTTTTGAAAGGTGATTGGATCATGGGGTGCTGTAGCCAATTGTGGTGTTAGGAGGTGGGACCTGGTGGGAAGAGGTGGGTCACTGTGGGCATGACCTGGGAAGGTTTATCTCCCTCCCATCCCTTCCCTTCACTCTCTGCTTCCTGTCCACCATGCTTTGAGCAGCTCTCCTCTGCCATACTACCCTCCTTAGGAGGAATATGAACTGAAACGTGAGCCAAAGTAAAACTTTTCTCCAACTTGTAGGGGCTGGCTCTTGTGTCTCAGGGATAGACAAATTTCTTCATAAGGTTGTTAGGAGGAACAAGAAAGTTAATATAAACAAAATACTCAGTTCATTGCCTGGCACATAATAAGTCTAGCTCAATAGATGTTGGTTACTAGCATTGCATTTGTAACTCATAAATGATATCATCATCACCTCCATCTATGGACAAGTAATTTGAAACTCAGTTTAAATAACTTGCTGCAATCACATCAGGGCCAATAACTGAGAGGACTAATACTGTAGGCCTTAGGATTTCTTCTCCCAAATGTCTCTAGAATGAGATTATGATTTTGGATTATACTAGAATAAAGACTATGTTTTCTAGCAAGATGCAGCCTCATGACTAACTTCTGACCAAAGGGATGTAAGAAAACGTATCAAGTGGCAGCAAAAAAAGGTGGAAAATGGATATTCAACTTCTTGAATTATAAGACTATGTCATTCAGACTAACATTCCCGCTGAGAATGACTGGAAAAGCTGGACAAAATGTAAAATAAATCTGCTGGAGAGCATTGGGAAGCAATGACATTTATATGGCCAAGATCTTACAAGACCATGGAGGAACTCCAGATAGGTGAACCCATCATTTGGGGACAGTTTTTCCCCTACACATCTATGGATCTCAGGAGAGGAAGCTGAGAAGTGGAGAGGTCGAGCAGGCAG